AAAAGAAAAGAAAGAAAGAAAAAAGAAAGAACAGAATAGCAACCAACCAAACAAACCCCAACATAATTCTGAGCTATAGTATAGTAGTAGAGGAGCTGTTAAGGATGGGGAGAGAGGTTCATTTGTCTTTTGTTTTTTTAAGGGTACATATTTAGCTTGAGAGGCTGAAAAGTTATAGATGGGAATTCCAAGTGTTTGTTACTCATTGATCAACAGAGATGACAGAATGGTACAAGGGGATACCTGTACCAGGTTACAAAGCTAAACTATTTTTAAAAAATCTTATAAAAAATCTTTTTTCCCACATTTATTTATTGGTATGTTATACTTGTACATATGGATGGGATTTCTTGTTACATATTTGTACATGCATACAATGTAACTATATAATTTGGCCAATATCACTTCCTAGTACTTCTCCCCTCCCTCTACACTTCCACCCCTTAGGCTCTTTTCTTATCACCCTTTGATTTTAGGGGATCTTTCTTTTTCCTCTCTAGCCTCTGCATAGGAGAGAAAACATATGATCCTTGACCTTCTGAATTTAACTTAATTCACTTAACATGATGATCTCTAGTTCTATCTACTTTCCTACAAATACCATGATTTAATATTTATTTTTGGATGAATAAAAATTTTCATTGGGTATATATACTACATTTTTTTGATAAAAGGGTAATATATTTTTTAAAATATAATAATACAAAAGTTGAGATGACAGAACTAAGACCCTAACTATCATATGAATATCTGTAAATAAGTTAATCTTACTAATTGAAAAGATGCCAGGTTGGATTACAAATACAATTTAATTATATTATGTATGCAAGCACATATTTAAAAAAAGAGATTCTGAAAACTTAAAGTAAAAATATGACAAATATATATCAAGAAAATTCAAATAAAAAGAGCCTAAGTGCTGCAATTCTCAACAAACAAGTTGTTATAGGAGATTAACTTTATAATGGAAAATACATCCACTATCTTTAAAGGCTTGTGCATGGAATAACACAATATCAACATTCATAATGTAAATTGACAAAAGTAAAACAATCTACCATCTTAAGAGGAAAACTAAATTCTTCCATCTCAGTATATGACAGATCAAGTAGCCAAAAGTTATTACTAAAAAAAAAAAACACACAGATGAAGAAAAGATAAATACATTATTTATCAAACTCAAAATACAGAAAGCAGAGACAGAATATTAAAATATCTATGAAATCAATAAAAATACCCAGCAAATTACAGAAAGTAGAAAAAGTAAGAGAAGTTTATTTCCAAATACAAGGTAATAAAATGAAATTAATAATAAAATTTAAAGGGGTAAAAGCTCCATTTTAAAAAGTTATTTCAATCTATTGAAATATGCCACATTTTCTTTATCCATTCATCCATTGAAGGACAGACACCTAGGGCTGATTCCATAGTTTAGCTATTGTGAATTGTATTGTTATAAACTTGGGTATGTGTGTATCACTGTAGTAAGATGACTTTAATTCTTCAAGATAAATACTGATGAGTAGTTAGACTAGTATTTTAAATATATGAGAAAATATAAATAAAAATTTATTTACTTATAAATCAACTTCTGAAAATAGATTTGATCAATAAGGACAAAGAGTAGAGAAAGAGCAGGAGAGCTGAAGACATAGCCCAGGTATGCTTATTTTGGGGATGTGGAAAGAGAGGAGACTTTGAAAGAGTCAAAGTTTATGTGGTAAGGAGAACAGGAGGAGGATTCAAGATAGTAGGAGTTCCCTGCCCTTTCAAAATGCTTGTTAGGAGAACACTGTTTTGAACAAAAGAGTCAGTGGGAGCTGTTTTCCAGGAGAGCTTTCTCTTAGCCTGTGGCATGACCATCAACATGGCATAACCACTTTAATCATATTGGATTACCAACAGTGCTCTCAGGCTACCTTCCCCAGGGATCTAGTACAAATACAATTTGCAGTGGAAAACAAAGCTATTTAATGCCTCAAAGTAAGAAAACAAGTTTATATCAAAAAAATCCAGGCAACAGCTGGTACTTTCAAGAACCTTCAGAAATAGGCTATCTAGTAAAGCAGTTGTTATTAGTAGAGATTGTGCACTTTAAGACATTTTAGCTCACAGAATGAGTCTGTCTGTGCTAATGACACAATATGACAAAAATGGAGTCTAATTCAGCTCATACTGAATACTAAAAGAGATAGTAAAATTATGTTTCAAAGTATTTTTCTGTCTAGAAATGGATCTATAAATGGTAGAAAAAGTACCCAGAAAAAGTACTAAGCTGTACACCAAATGCTGATAATGGGGAAATCTATATAACAAAGTAAAACTGGGACTCTCATTAGAAGTAGGCTTAAGGAAAAAAAAAAATGAAATAGGCTTATGAGTAATTAAAGTGTTGTTCTCAGGCATTTCAGTATTTGTCAAAATTATTTTAAAAAATTGCATCCATTTTTAAATAAAAATGCTATTTAAAAAGAAATAAAGCAACCTATAGTTCCATCAATCATATACACTGAAACAGACAAGAAAGAAAAGGTAGAATCATACCTCAATATAGTTTATTTCACTATAAAATACTGTACAAATGACTTACCAATAAATGTCTACATGGGTAAATAAGTCAGGAAAATAAAATATTGTAGGTTGTGAATTGAAAACCATTAATATCTAGACTGCAATCTATTAAATTATTGCTGAGATTTTAGAAAATCTATTAAATTATTGCTGAGATTTTAGAAAATCTACTGGGTTTTAGACTTTATATATAATTCAATAGATCTTTCAAAAGGACAAAGACCTGAGACAGAAGAAAGTTAAAGGTTATCTGACTTAACTGATGAGGAAGCCAGGTTAATTCACAAGGATGCACTGGATACAATTTATCTGTTGGAAAGCCTTCTCCTTGCCTATGGCAGGACCATTAATGTGGCATAACAATTTTAATCACATTGGATTACCAATAGTGCTTACAGATATATAGCACKAACACAAGAGATTCTGCAGCTGGGAAGGTTCTTGGTTGGGGAGCCCAGGAAGCCCAGGGTATCACTTGCACAGACACAGATGAGTCACAAATCTGACTAATGAAATAGATCACCTAGGCATGGGGATGGGCAACATAATTTTAGGGTGTTCTAATGATGTAAAATATATAAATGAAATTGAACTCTTTTACTACAGCTTGTACTTTGAAGGGTTTTGGGTTACATCTACTCAACAGAGTCTTTCTGGCATTGAAAGGAAGAAGGAAAAATACAGTCAATAAATCTTATGTTTGTTTCAAATCTATGCTCTCTCAACTACTTTGTCTTCTTCCAATTCAAGATTGGCTATGAYAGCTGAAACAACTAATATCCTAATCATTTTATGATCACAGAGAGAAAGTTTACCTGTTTCAATTCTTGTGTCAACATCAGTATTGACTTTTGATGCAGAGCCCTCATCTGTCACACAGTTTTTTATTGTCTTCTCCCTAGAGCTGTCACATAGAAGAATTTATTTGAAACTCAAAAGAAAGCTTTTAAGATCACCAATCCATGCTATTTAGAAAATATTAGTTCATGGTGGTCAGATTTTTTCCCCCAGATGCTGTAGGGTTATTCTTTACAAATATCTCAGAGTTAAAGTCATGATTTTTTTAAAGTCATAATTTTTAAAAAGTCATAATATTTATACTGGGAATGATGAGAGAGAAAGACACTATCATTCAGAAAATTTAGAACTTACTTTGTTCTCTTGACAGAAACTTAAGTCTGAATGAGAGAGTAGGATGTTTCCTTTTTAATTATTTAAAACACTTATAGTTAAGACACATTAAGGAAGATTCTGCTGCTAAGAATTATAGTGGAGACAACTATAGCCATTAGTTAGAAAAACAGATTAAAAAAAAGGCAAATGTTTGCACTTGATTGAGGTAGATATCTTGGGAAGTGGAAGTACAGGAAGCCTAGACTATGTGCCAGGCTCTTTAAACTCACTATCTCATTCAATCATAAAATCCTACCTACTAGTATTAACCCCATTTTATAGGTRGGGGAATTGATATTCAGAGAGTGACTTCACCCAAGATTGAAGAGCTTGTATGATATTAACACTGAGCATAGAGTAACATTTTATATCTGGTGTAGCAATCACCTATATGGTACCTAAACAGATAAATGATGAGATTAATTATTTGTCTTACTAGAAAGTTTATTCAATTATACATTARTTCATCTCTGTTTTCCCAGTGCATTTAAAATAGGAATCAGTATACAAACTATATCTATACAAATAATTTTTAGAAACATTCTATTTCTGTCTACAGCAAAGTAAATTTTCTTTATGTAAATTAACCTCAATAAACCTGATTTTTTAAAAAATAGGGAACTAAGGAAAGATAGGAAACTAAGAATGTTCTTTGAGGGTTACACTATAAAACATATAGATCAGAGCAGAAATAGGCAAAGTGACTAMAGAAGATGATGGTAGGCCAACAGGCATTGACTTCATTCATTCATCATTCAATAAATGATTTCTTAGCACATTCTATGCACTGTCATAGGCACCACAGACACTACAACAAATGTAACCAACAAGTCCTCAGGCTCATGGAGCATATGTTCTATTAAGAGGTAAATACAATTAAAAAAAATAAACAAAAAACTTATTCTGGAGAAGAATGGAAGAATAATGTTGTTGAGATACATTCACAATATCTTGTTAAATTAAAAACGGTATGTATAGGAAGCAAATTACTATAAAAATAAATGCATATATATTTATATGCACAGAACACATACACACATATACTTGAGTAAAAGGATATTTACCATAATATAATTAGTCTTATTTCTGTATGTTGGGATTATGAGTTACTTATTTTGTTTCTCATGGGTTTTTCCTGTACTTTCCAAATTCTCAAAAATAAGCATGTATTACTTTTGTCATCAGAAAAAAATACTAATATTTATAACTACATGTATCTATAGTATACAGATGACTAAAACGTATATGCCTACATGTACGCAAAATATTAATAATAGTTAACTCTCAGTGGTAGGATATAGTGATTTTTTTCAGTATACCTGTAGGTGTTATTTAAATTGTAATTATTTATCTAATTTTCACTTAAAATTATAAAGCTAATTTTTTAAAGAATGAGTTTTGAGATAGAAGATATGGTACCTTTTTTTATGGAATTTTAGTAGCAATAAATGAAAATATCTACCATTCAGAGACAGCCTCAAGGTCTGTTTATTTTTTGTTTTGTGGAGAAATACTTTCCTTTTCTTCTTTTGACAATTTTTTTCTCTAGCAGTCTTGCCCATGGTAATTTAAATCTCCTTATTCAATAGAAAAATACCATGTGCTTCTTGATAATTCTATCAAGAAAAAGAGTTGCTAAGCATTTATGGAGAGAAGTCATCTCATAGTGTTCCTATCTATAAGCTGTGAACAACAACACTGGAGATTTTAAAAGTATATCCAAAGCACACCTAGCAATTCAAGAAAGCAGGAATGAACCCACTAGGGCAAGTTCATCAGATAAATCTCAGGATGCTGAAAAGATACTTTGATTCCAGATCTAAGTAGTTACAACTTGTGGGAGATTTCTGCTGGAAAATAAAGAAAATTGAAATTCACTATGACCTATGTCCAGAAGCAAACTAGAATGTTGTTTGTTTGTTTTTATAGAGAATTTTCTTACCTTTTTTCCACCTCTAAGAGGAAATTTTCACTGTTCCCCAACTGACTAAAATGCAGCTTGGCAGCTTTCCTCTCACTGTCACGAACAGTACGATCATCTGGAGGCAAAAACCGTGGTCTGAGCATGTTTATTTTTTGGAGTAAAGAGTAGTGGGTCAGAAAACCTTATTTACATAGGAAAAACTAAAGACCAGCCTCATATTTGTGTGTTAGAGACAGGTCACAACAAATACTATTGTGTTGTCACTGGAGAAAGCAGTAACTCAGGGAGACTTCAGGGATGCCATAGCAACAACTGCCACATAGGGTAACTACCCCTTCAGAAAAGTGGAGCTTACACAGCAAACAATCTCATGTTAAGACTGAAAGTTAGACTATTTTCTGAAAGAGTTCACTTAGTTTCCCTACAATGATTTTCCCAGGAACATGTAAAATCAAATTTTACATCAATAAGAAATGTAAACTTAATAATAAAATTATAAGAAAATGCAAACCAGCTCATTCAAAGGGATATTTCTTATTCCTTGCCAACTGAGTCTCAAAGGATTATTAGTTTTCTACTGCTAATTCAGTTGAAAAGTTAGGGCACCTGGAAAAACAAGTATCAATCTGGAAATTTTATGTTGAGAAGGAAGTGGTGGTGAAACCATCAACTGAAGAAAACTAAAGCTGGAAGTGACTGATAAAATCATAGGTGGTCATTCAATAAACAATAAACGGACTCGTCATACATCCTGCCAACACAAAGAGTTACATAAATATTGACTAATAAATAAATGTCCCTTGCCAGTGCACGCTCTGGGCCAACATCCAAAAGGTTAAGAGGCAGCTGATTTCAAGTAAGATTCTGGGGAAGGAGCAGAGGAGGAGGGTCTCACCCAATTTCTCCAGAGTTTGTAGTGTGTACACAGCAAAGAGCCTATAATCTGTATCTTTCCTTACAACAGGATTGAGTCTCAAATCTAATTCTTTGAGGAAGGGTAAAGGCTGTAGGCGGGACACCTCCACTAATGAAGGGATGTTGTTATAATATAAATTCAGGTCTTGGAGTGAGCATAAATACTGGATGCCCTGCAAGGAAAAGACCACATTAGGAAACTGCACATTGTAGGAAACGTATCTACTACTTTCTATTCTTAAATGCATTACCCAAACCACCCACAAGAAAGACAGGGTTAGAACTCCTATTCAGTTACCTGAGAATAAGACTACTGCAGCCCCTGGGCTCAGAGTGTTCTATGTGTTAAAAAGTTCACATACATCTTTATAAAATATGACATWCATATATCAACAGATATTCCCTATATCTGTTGGCTCCCAAATCATTTTCCTAATTCAATCCTTCCTAGTGGTAGCCAGTCCAAATCACTTTGGCTTTCTCACCTTTGCCTCAACCATTCTCCTTACTCCCTAAGAACTTCAATTTACAAAAGGAAGGAAGGTAGGCAATAGAGCTGCTTCTGGGGTAGGAGGACATGGTGGTTGTAATAGAAGTAGTAGTAGTAGCAGTAGTAATAATAATAATAATAATAATAATAATGATGATGATGATGTGATGGTATCCTCGTGTATCAATGCATCACTTTGAGTTTCAATGTATTATTCGGTGAAACAAAACAAAACAACACTTTCTCCAAGTCTTCCCTGGGGGACCTGTCTAGGACCCTTCTTGTCCTTGTTTCCCTCTTCAGAGTTACTGCCAACATGAAAGCTCTCCGTCCCCTAATCAGTCATTTCTCTTTGTAGAAATGTTCTTCCATTCTGTTCTCATATTGCAGATTTAGCAAACCCAGTCCTTTACTTAACTGGCAACAATATAATCAGGACTGGGAAAAGCCACAATTTTCCTGTTCTGCTGAAATCTGCTATTGAAAAGAATTATTTAATTTGCATATATTTAGCTTGTTAGCTGCTTTTGCCCAACACTAAATTTCAGGACCATATTTCAAAACATATACATATATTTGTAATCACCTAATTGCATTAGTTAAAATGCTTGTCATAAGAATAACTGCCATTGAGGATTATTTCAGAAAGGTGAAATTATTTTCCATTATGTATTTATAAAATAATATTTTTATTCTTCTCTCATTTAAAATCATTTTTTATTTCAGGAAATTCAGAAAACTCAAAATATATATATATATAAAACATTCCAGAGTAGAACCCTATTTATTTTGATGCATTTCTCTCTGTTTTTAAAATTTTATTAACTTTTACACTTTTAAAGAGTCATTGATTAGGAACAGTTCCCTGGTTTTACTCTCAGGGAAGTATACCATTAGGACTGTCTTTATTTTTTTCATATTTTCTTTCTTCCATGTTTTTATTGGTGCATTATAATTATACATACTGGTGGGATTCATTGTTATATATTTGTCTGTGTACATGATATAACAATATAATTTGGACAATATCATTACCCAGTATTTCCCTTTTCCCTCYTCTCCTCCTTCTGCTCCCATTCCTTTCCTCTATTTAGGACTGTCTTTAATGTGTCTAATGCACCAGCTCAAACAATCTTCTTTTTCTTTTTCCTTTGTTGATACTAGGCTTAACCTAGGGATGCTTTACCTCTGAGCTACATTCCCATCTCTTTATTTTTTTTTTCTTTATTTTGAGACAGGGTCTTGTTAAATTGCTGAGAATGTCCTCAAATTTATAATCTTCCTGTCTCAGCCTCCTGAGTAGCTGGGATTAAAGTGTGCACCATCATGCCAGGTTCAAGCAACCTTTTAATGTCTTTCAGTATAAAATCAAGGAAATCATTTCTATCCTCCTCTGACTTTTCCCAGTTGGCATGATTTCATGTATTCCCTAACACTGCATTAGAAAAAAGCCACAAAACATTTTCTCTCTGGGAAAATTGAGAAAAGTAATTCAGACCTACTGAAAATGAATATAAATARATAAATAATACATGCAAAAATGTAGAAAATTAACATTTACCAAGTGCTTCCTATATGCCAAACACTATACTGGGAGTTTTATATATGTTATTTGATTACATGTTAATTTCATTAACTTTCACAGCAGTTTTTCACTCAATTTATATAAGTATAAAGAAATGGAGCATAAAAWCAAATTACAGAAATATTCACTTAATTTTTTAGCATAAAAGGACAAATAAATGTACATATGAAAACAGGAGACTTAAGAACTCTGAAGTAATCCTTTCTAAAATTGATGGGCCAAATATAAATGACTGCTAAAAATGGTTTAAATACCAGTTCAACTTGGAGTTGCTATTTTTAGTCTTAGTTGGAAATTTGATCTATCTTGTTTGGGCTTTTTTTTTTTTTTTGGGTACCAGGGATCAAACCCATGGGCACTTAATCACAGAGCTATACCCCTAGCCCTTCTTGAAACATTTTGAGACAGGATCTCCCTGAGTTGCTTAAGCTCTCGCTAAATTTTTGATGCTGGCCTGAAACTTGTGATCCTTCTGCCTCAGCTTCCTGAGCTTTGGGGATTACGGGATCACCCAGTTGGGCTTGCTCTTTTAAGGCAAGTTATACCTTCAGATTGGGTCTGAATGATATGGTTTGAACGGTATGGACTATCCCCTAAGAAGTGCAAAATTGGCAGAATAATCCAGGAGAGTCTTTGTCACTTCCAGTCTTCTATAGAAGGACTTTGCCAATTAGTTAGGGCAAAATGGGAACATGTAGAAGAAGCACAATTTGAGGATCTATCATAAAGAAAACAAAACTTGTATGTCCGTGCTGTATGTACTTCTTTGCAGAGCTCTTTATTTTCTAATCCTTCCATATGCTATTCAAGTCTGCTCCTACTTTCCTGTACTGCTCTGTGTTCCACCATGCCTCGACATAGACATTCTTTTCTTTTTTGAGACAACCATTTCCTGATCTTCCTAGAAAAAACCCACTATAGCAATATAACCCAGTGTTTCTCTGTGTGCTTCATGTACTACTATAATCAGAATGCCCTTGGTACGTCCTGAGCCCACCCATACCCAGGGTATCTCTCAGAGCAGAGATTAAGAATCTGTATTTTTATAAGTGCTCTTCATGATTTTGTTGTTGTTGTTGTTGTTGTTGTTGACACTGGGGATTGAACCCAGGGGCACTCTACCATTAAGCAGCATCCCTAGCTCTTTTTATTTTTTAAGTTTTGATACAGGGTCTAGCTAAGTTGCTCAGGCTGGCCTTCAACTTGTGATCCTTCTGCCTCAGCCTCCAAAGTCACTGGGATCACCAGCATGTGCCACCAGACCTAACTTCTTCACGATTGTTTTGTACATATTGAAATTTGAGTTATTTCCCTAGGCAATGAKTGCTTAATATAGTTAATATAGTACAAAAGGAATTTACCCAATATTTTATAAGAAATTACTTTAAACATAGAACAAAGTTAGTTGAAAGAATTTTATAGTGAATAATAAAATTTAGCTGGAAAGCATTTAAAAAGAAGATTTAATAATCCTCAGGCTAACAATATTTCTCTCTTCTGCTCATCAAAAAGCAAACTGGGCTATCTGGCTTGTCATAGAATATAGAACTTACCTTTAGGCTAGTGATCAAATTCCTTGATAAATCTAAGGATCGGAGATTTTTAAAATTTCTGAAAGCATCACCAATGGAATGAATTTTTCCAGCATAAGATCCCTGTAATGAAAGAGACTCCACCAGTTCTGAAAAGAGATCATCAGTAGATATATTATGATCCCTACGTATATAAAAGTAGAGTCAATGAAAGTAGGCCTTCCTTCTTCCCATAACCCATCTGTGAAAGGCCCTAAATCCAAGGATTCTAARATCACATCTTCTTTTAAATCAGCAGTATAACAGAGCCCTGTGGTGCAGGCCTATAATCCCAATGACTCAGGAGAGAACTACATTGAAATAAAATCTTGAGGTGCTGGAACAATATAGGCCTTATAAGCTTTTCAAATTCATAAGCTAAAGAAAAGACCTATATCCTGGAGAAATTAGTGGGAACAGAATCTATACTAGATGGAACAGGGATGATAGGAACAACAATGAGAAGGTCTAGACACAAGTACGGAAAGGGAAGCAAAAATGGCAGATCTCAGGAAACAGTTCATGTTTTCCAGTACTTTGTGAACACAACAGAAGAGGGAGCTCCAAATCCTTGAAATAGAAAACTATGGGGTTGGGGATGTACAGTGGAGCTCACCCTTCCTATCTTAAAAGTACAGAAGAACTTACTGCACTTAAATACACAGCCAGAAAAGGATTAGAGTCAAAGCTTATATGAGGGTTATTATAAGAAAAAGGAGCAGAATAACATTCTTAGGAAATAAAAGTATTCCAGAATGATATGCCCACAGAGCAAATGAAGATATCATAGCAATGCAGCAATTCTCAAAGTGATTCCCAGACCCCTCAAGGTTCCGAAGATATGTACAGGGATCCACAAACTATTTTTTAAAATTATTTTCATAATAATATGAACRCATTCATTGTTTTTGGTACTATATTGACATTTGCACTTAAGATACAAAAGCAAAACTCACTGGGCTGGTAGGATGAATCAAGACAATGGCATCACATTTTACTAGTGGTTAATGCATTCTTTACTATTGTATGTTTGAAGTTCTTTTTTTGGGGGGGGTTTCTGGGGATTGAACTCAGGGGCACTCAATCACTGAGCCACATCCCTAGCCCTATTTTGCATTTTATTTAGAGACAGGGTCTCACTGAATTGCTTAGTGCCTCGACTTTGCTGAGGCTGGCTTTGAACTTGCAATCCTCCTGCTTCAGCCTACCCAGTCACTGGGACTACAGGTTGCACCACCACACCTGGCAATGTTTGCAGTTCTTTAAATGTCATTTAAGATTTCCCTTAATAGCCCGGCTCGGTGACACATGCCCTTAATACACTAGGTAGCACATGCCTGAAATCCCAGAGATTCAGGAAGCTGAGGCAGGAGGATTACAAATTCAAGATCAGCCTCAGCAATTTAATGAGACTCTGTCTCAAAAAAGTAAAAAGGGCTGGGGATATGGCTCAGTGGTTAACCATCCCTAGGTTCAATCTTCAATCCCCTGGTACCAAAAAAAAAAAAAAAAAGAATTATCTTAAAAAAGTAGTAACAATGATTAATTTTATTAAATCTTTGTGTCTGTGTGTGTGTGTGTGTGTGTGTGTGTGTGTGTGTGTGTTAAGTACTCTCATTGGCTATATCCCAGCCCTAATTGTTTAAATCTTGACCTTTGAGTATATATCTTCTTTTGCATCGTAACTAAATGGAAAGTATTCATGAATTATTTCTGCTACACACTGAAGAATGGTGGATGCCTTGTAGAAAAACACTTTTATGTGACTGAGTTACAAGCTGAACTACACACTTTAAAAAAAAAAAAAGATTTCGGGCTGGGGATGTGGCTCAAGCAGTAGCGCGCTCGCCTGGCATGCGTGCGTCCCAGGTTCGATCCTCAGCACCACATACAAACAAAGATGTTGTGTCTGCCAAAAACTAAAAAATAAATATTAAAAATTCTCTCTCTCTTTCTCCCTCTCTCCCTCTCTCTTTAAAAAAAAATTAAAAAAATAAAAGATTTCTTTTTTAGTTGTAGATGGATACAATACCTTTATTTTGTTTATTTACTTTTTATGTGGTGCTTAGAATCAAACCCAGTGCCTCACACATGTTAGGGAAGCATTCTACCACTGAGCCACAACTAGGCACTTAACTAAGCACTTTTTTTTTTTACTTTTATTTTGTTTATTCTTATGTGGTGCTGAGGATTGAAYCCAGGACTTTGAATGTGCTAGGCAAGTGCTCTACTGCTGAGCCACAACCCCAGCCCCAAACTAGGCACTTTTTAAATGAAACATCATATTTACTCAGAGAAAAGCAACCTGAAAAACTACGGTTATTCTGACTTGAATTTTTAGCAGACATTTTCTTAAAAATAAGCAAAGTGAGTCTGTCATTTCAGGAAAACAATGATATGTAACTRTTATCCATTATAACAGTCTAGCTTCTAAGAAAAAATAAAATTGGGGGGGCTAGGGATAGCTCAGTGGTAGAGTACATGCTAAGCATGTAACAGGCCCTGAGCTTGATCCCCAGCACCACTAACATTTTATTTTCTTTTGGAAAACTTGTATCTGCACCATGAACTTGATAGCTTCCTAATGCTTCCTTATTTTTTAATGAGATTGATGGCAATATAATTTTAGATGTTACATAATGAAACTTGTCAACATTTAGAAGATATATATAGCTCAGTGAGTCRATATTTTTTAAATTACCAATGAATAATGTTATAAAACCATGCTTTGTTAAAAGAGTCATTCAACAGCAGGGCATACCAATGGATATTACTGTAACGATACAAAAAGCTCAGTGATATGTTTCAGATTTCATATACAACTAAATTTTAAGAAAATACCATTTGCCCAGTGTTCATGCCTTATCAAAGAAGAATTTCCATAATAAGCTACTGAAATATTCTTCCCTTTTCCAACTACTTATCTGTGTGAGGTCAGATTTTTTTTCCCATGTGTTTCAAACAAAACAATAGATCACAATAGATTTAAGACAGAAGTAGATATMAGAATCTGGCTATCTTGTATTAAAACAGACATTAAAGAGATTTGTAAGAATACAAATCTATATTCTATTTTTTATTTTGGAAAATATATCTATTGTTCATAAATATAGTAGGTAACCATATAATGGGTATGTTATATTTATCTTTCAATGAATCAATAAATTTTTAAAATTTTTTCTCAGTTTTAATTTCTTTCTTTTTCTTTCTTTCTTTCTTTTTTTTTTTTTTTTGGAGGGGGGTACCATGGATTGAATTCAGAGAATTCAGAGGCACTCAGCCACTGAGTGACATCCCCAGCTCTATTTTGTATTTTTATTTAGAGAYGAGGCCTCACTGAGGTGTTTAATGCCTTGCTTTTGCTGAGGCTGGCTTTGAACTCAGGATCCTCCTGCCTCAGCCTCCTGGCTTCTGGGATCACAGGTGTGTGCCACCTCGCCTGGCTCAGTTTTAATTTCTATAAGGTAAATACTAGCAGATAACTAAAGCTCTGGGGGGTCCTCAATAATTTTTAATAGTGTAAAGGAATCTTGAGAACAAAAAAATTGAAAATTACTGAAAATGTAAGTTGGAATTAGGAAAATTCAGAAAGATGATTGGAAAGAAAAGGAAGATTTGAAAATATAGAAGAACAAACTCAAGAAATAATAAAAATATGTAATCCCAGGGGTTCCAGAGGCTGAGAAACAGATGGATCCCAGTTCAAAGCCAGCCTCAGCAATTTGGCGATGCCCTAAGTAACTCTGTGAGACCCTGACTCTAAATAAAATACAAAATAGGGCTAGGGATGTGGCTCAGTGGTCAAGTGCCCAGAGTTCAAACCCTGGTACCAAAAAAAAAAAAAAAAAAAAAAAATAAAAAAAAAAAAAAGAAACGAAAACAAATAATAAAAATAGAGTTTAAAAAAAATAATTTCAGAAATGAGGTCAAATGGTGCATGCCTATAATCCCAGCAGTTCAGGAGGCTCAGAAATTTAGTGAGGCTCTAAGCAACTTAGCAACTTAGTTAGACACTGTCTCAAAATAAAAAATAAAAAAGTCTGAGGATGGAGCTCAGTAATAAAGCACTCCTGGTTCAATCCCCAGTACCCTCCCCCCCCAAAAAAAAAAAGAACAAATAAAAACAGTAGAAAATTTCTACTTCTGACTATACTTCATATCCAAAAGAATTGAAAGCAAGGATTGAAATAGATACTTTTACACCAATGTTTATAGCAGCATTATTCATAATAGCCAAAAAGTAGAAAATATCCAAATGTTCATCAATGTATACATAAGCAAAATGTGGGATAGATATAAAATGAGGTCTTATTCAGTCCTAAAAAAAAAAAAAAGAAAGAAAGAAATTCTAACGTAAACATAATCTCAACATGTTTAAACTTTGAGGACATTATGCTAAGTGAAATAAGCCAGACACAAAAGGAAAAATATTGTATGATTCCATATATACAAGATACTAGAACAGTCAAATTCACAGAAACAGAAAGTACAGTGATGTTGCCAGGGCTGAGTGCAAAGTGAATGGAGAGTTATTGTTTAATGGGTACAGGGTTTCAGTTTGGGAAGATGAAAAACTTCTGGAGAGAGATGGCAGTAATGGTTGCAAAACAATGCAAATGAAGCTAGGCACAGTGGCACATGCCTTTAATCCCAGTGGCTCAGGAGGTTGAGGCAGGAGGATTACAAATTCACAGTCAGCCTCAGCACCTTTTCTAAGCCCTAAACTAAGACCCTGTCTCAAAAAACAACAAACAAGAACAACAAAAAAACAGTGCTTGAGCACCTCTGGGTTTAGTCCCTGGTACCAAAAAACAAACCAACAAACAATGTGAATGTAATTAATGCCACTAAACTGGACATTGTTTGGATTTTTTTTTTTTACCTTTGTTTTTGTTTCTTGGCTAACAACTCACTGTCTTGATTTCTATAGGTTTCTACTTTGAAGTCAGGAAGTGGCAGTTCTTTGACCTTTTCTTCTTCAGTGTTATGTCTGATATTCTAGGTCTTCTGCCTTTCTGTATAAACTTAAGAAATAAGTTTGGTGATATCTATAAACTAAATAAATGGCTGGGACATCATTTTTTTTTATGGCTGAGTCATATTTCATCAT